CATAATTCTGCCTCCACTGTACATTGTGTTTGATATATCTGGTGCCCAATTCTGATGCAATTCAGGGCAATTTATTTTCGAATAAAGATGCAATATTGAATTGTGATTTATTTGTATAACTGTAGTGCTGTATGTATGCTGTCCCATGTCTTCAGAGGGTGGAGGACATGTTTTCTGTGCTTTGAAGATGTTCTCCTATGCTTTGTACATAGCTGTGTTTGTGTTTGTGCTAATAAAGCTCTTTCTTTGAATAAACAGCTCGTACCTGGCAAATGTTCCTTTCCTCAATAAATTCATGTCCTTGATGGCAATAATAGTGTAGTCCATAGGATAACAATGACATGAATATACAACATAATAGCATATCATATGAATATAAATTATATATAAGAATAAATGATTATAATTTTATATAGGCTGACCAATAGTAAAAGATCCTCTAACCAATCACGAGTGATTTTCTTGTTTAAATGTAGTGATTTCAACCAATACTGAGTGAGGAAATTCAAGCCATTCTCTCTGGAAAGGCGCGCAGCGCTGCTATTCATATGCAAATTAGAGCCATTCGCACCTCCGAGAGCTCTACATGTCCGTCATGGTTCGTTTCCGTCAATATGTGCCACAGACAAACATGACGTTCACAGTCTGTAAATTGTCATTAACTGCCGAAAATTATGGAGATTTCCGTCAGTTTACGGGGACGAAAATCCCACTTTTCATGCAGTGGTGTGGACTGGAGAACGGTCGAGTCATGTTTACTGTGGCGAGCGGGATGAGTGAGGGCTGTGTGGACTGGAGAATGGTCTGTGGCGAGCGGGATGAGTGAGGGCCGTGTGGACTGGAGAACGGTTGAGACATGTTTACTGTGGCGAGCGGGACAAATGAGGGCCGTGTGGACTGGAGAATGGTCGAGTTATGTTTACTGTGGCTAGCCGGACGAGTGAGAGCTGTGTGGAGAACGACGCGAGGCCGGTGCCAATTACCAATGAGCGGCAACTGAGACGCAAGTTACCGGTCTCGTATCTTTCACGGAGGAGTGGGAATTTTCTTAACAATGTTAAAACCCACTTGTTTAGCGTTCATGTAAACACTACATTCAGATTCAGCAATCAGAATGAATTCAGTTAGATTTCAGTTAGAAACAAAAGCTGTAACTTACATGTAAACAATGCATGGCGACTGCAGAAAGCAAAAGCTGAATCCCGGACATCGACGGCCGGACATATCCGGGAAAAAGAGGATGGTAACACCTAAAGTTACTTCTCAGCTTTCTCCACAGAACAACAGCCTGCTAGCTCAGCTTCCAAAAAAGATGTGTAATACCAATCCTCCATAATGCATCCGTCTGCGTATTCAGTACATTCGTCCATATTTTCAAACCGTTTCTGCGGTGAAATCAGATGCACTGGCACTGATCTGTGATTGGTCTGTAAGCGCATTAGGTCCAACCCCCTATGGGCAGGTTTGAAAGGGTGGGATCTAGTGCTTGTAGTTTTTTCCAGAAATCCGGAAAACCGCTCTTACACTTCCTCCAACAATGACGTAAAATGACGATTTTTGCGTCATTGTAGGAGGAAGTGAAAAAGGAAAATAGCTGATTTCTCTCATCTCAGGGGAAAATGAGAGAGTGTTGCACAACCATTCAATTGTATAATTGGGTTTCTAACAATGGAAAGCTTAATGCAAATGGGTGGAGTGCCCCTTTAAGTCTCGTGTTACACCAGCAAAGATAATCCACAACGTGACTCGTTTATGCGCGTCAATAGTGTGAAATGATCTCACATGAACTCACCAGAGGCCTCATTTATAAAAGTTTGCGTAGGATTTGCGTCAGAAGTGGCATACGGATGAAACATAGGACGTGCGTACGCACAGAAATATTCGGATTTATAAAACCGTGCGCACACACATCCTACGCATTTTTCCCTTAATAAATCACAATCAATTCTAAATGTAGCGCATCTTTTGCGGCTTCAAGTCACGCCCATAGTTGCCCATAAATAGTCCGTGAAACGCCCACAAGTTAATATTCATCAATTGCGAAATTATGTTAAACACAGAGAGGAATTAACAAAAAACTTAACTTCACTCAATGTGAATTAGAAGTTATCGTTGGCGAGGTGGAAAAGAGGAGGAAAATGTTCTTTGGAGGGCACAGTGTGGGCATTACTAATGCCAAAAAGGCACTTCAAATGGCAAAAGGTTGTAGACGCCGTAAATGCTGTCGCTTCACAACCTCGGACTGTAGCCGAAATAAAAAAGAAATGGTCGGATATCAAAGTCGAGGCAAAAAAGCGTCTAGTCATTAATTCAATTAGAGAGGTGGCCAAGGAGTTGGGTGAAATCAAGACTGTTCTAACTGAAATAAACTGCACAATGAGGGAATTCTTGAATAAATCATATATTTTTTTCACACCTTTTGTTGTGAAGATGATGCGTTCACTCCGAATCCTTCCATTTAATCGCCACATCTTCTAAGAGCACAAGATCAGCCACTGTGCGCCATTATACGCATTGTAATGGGGCATTTTATTTCCATCCATTTAATTCTGCATCTGACAAGCTACGGATGTCTGTTATAATCTAAATGGGAAATAGTTCAGCGCAAATGTAATTTCTTGCAGCTTTCTGAATGGTTGAGGAATGGTCTGAATGGTTACGTCATACGTTATTTTATCAAAAATAAAATAAACTAAAGGCATATGCATGAATACCATGATTCTATAGCTGATGAAGATATTTTTACGATGAAAACGACTTTCCCCAGGGGACAAATAATAGGCCTACATCTGCCAATTTATCGATCTATCTATATATCTCCATAATTATCTATCTGACTGACTATCTAATTGCTAAATCTGCTCCGTTAGACGGACATATTGGCGAGAATATCAGTTTTGTAAATTTTTTCGTTCTGTTTACCATCTTATTTATGAGGATGAATTGTATATGCCAATATTATTGAAGAACATATTTTTTTCTTTTTGGAAATATTTGTTAATGTGCATTTTTGTTGCAGATCAATCAAACGGGTGTTCGTGTAGGCTGTTAATTGTAAGACTTTCTTGTGAAGTCTTCGTGTTATTTATGAGAGGCAGTATTGCCATTTATTTTACACAACCGTCTACAGTTTCACACACTTTCACGTGTTTTTTCGAACTGCCGACGGTGTCGCCATTTCTCATTTCACCCATTTTTGTGCGTACGCCTGGGTCAGAGCTTGCTTGAAGGACCGCACATTTTACCGTGAAGTTTGCTTTTTATAAATACCAACTATTGCGTAGAGAGCGGCGTACGCCTTCTTTTGTGCGTACGCAACGTTTATAAATGATGCCCCAGGCTGCTTGGGGAGTGAGTACGGTAAAGCTGCCACCACGCCAGTGTTTATGCGAATGAAAGAGTTGCTGACCAAGGGGGTAATCCATCGACCGGAAGTTGAAGCCTCGCGGGAGCTGACATCTTGTAGCAGAACTTCACTTGCGTTAGCATTCCCATTGACTCCAATGCATTTTGCCGTCACTTTGACAGCGAATAACTTTACATCTGAGGCGTTTGAAGACCCCATTTGTCCTTTATTTGTTTCTAAAGAAACACGGCAATGTATAAATAGCTCCATTACCTTGTAGATTATGTTATGGCCCCGTAAAAGCAGTTTTAGTGAAAGTAGGCTAACGATTGTGTCATACCCACGCGACTCTCTGTCGCACGGTATTGAGATTACCGTATGGACATGAGAAGAAGCTCGCGCACAATCGGGGAAACGTGGAGGCAAAATGACAAAATAATTAATCAGAAAACCTAGCAAAATTGTCTCCTTCTATTAGCTCATGGACAGCTCCTATTCACACTCTCCGCCTCTGCAAGTTTCAGAAGGGAATGATTCAGATTTCTCATGCACAGAAGACAGACGGGTCACTCACGTCACATTCACGTAGTCAAGCTCTGTTTGAGTCTGCGCGTCAGGGACGGAAGTGCTAAAAAATCACCAAAATGGGCTTCAATCGTCTCAATGGAATTCCAATGAGATCACTCTGTCCATTTCTTTTACTGTCTATGTTGCTGACACGAGAGACTGGTTTAGTCATGCCTTTAATGGCGGTCGAGGATAATACAACACACACACGACACGCGCACCCACGCGCATGCGCAGCCAGGGTCAGTATAACGTTCAACATCACAGAACACGTCACAATCCACATTACACTCCACATACTGGCATAGAAACATATATTTGTTGTGGATGCAATGCTTTTGAACACTTTCCCTCTGGCATGCAGTGTTTTAATGTTTTATCTAGAGATAATTGCTAATCATGATAATATCAGATTGTCTGAGAAAATAGTTCCATATAAATAATGCACAACCATGTCTATCTGTTTCCATTAGAAATATAGATTCATTAAAAATACTATTTGGCCAGTGTGGAAAAGATTGAGAAAATCTTTCTCTGAAATGTATTTTACACTATTTGATTTATTCATTCAAAAACAAGGCAAGTATATGGGCTACTAATAATAATAATAATAATAATAATTTATTGTGACACTGCACAATGTATTTCATATTTTCCTAACGTCTTGCACGTTAACATGGATGAATAATCACATGCAAATGATGTGCAGCTGTTGTTGAGGATATGCATATTTAAACTAGGCATTGTAAGCTCCATATATGGTTATTTCAGGGAGGAGACGCACGTGCACGCATTCTTCCGCTGACTGGGATTTATAAAGGGAATTCTGCGCAGGTTCTGCCGTACGCACGGTTTTATAAATCTGAATATGTTTTGGCGTACGCCATTTTTGGCTTTCGGGCGCACGCACACTTTTAGTAAGGATCCTACGCACAGTTTTATAAATGAGACCCCTGGACTGTTAACGTCGTATTTATTTTTTATTTTTTTGTTCTTTACTTTGATTTACTGTATTAATAAAAATAAACAAACAACAAAACAAGGAGGAACGCTCTTGTCAAAGAGCTCTTGCCTGCTGCTGTCTGCCATGATTGAGGAGCAGGGAACAGCCCTGGGATTGGACTTTCCCTTTCAGAAATCCCCTGGGATTCCTGACGGCTGCCCAAAGCTTGAAGTGCCATCGCCGTTCACCAGGTAAAGCACAGTTGTAGGGTACCCTCTTGCCTGCATGGGGTGATGGGGCTGTGGTGGGAGGTTAATGACCATCACCTGCATGCCACACCGGCATCGAGGAGGAGTCACAACAGTGCAAGACAAGAGAGGACCAGGTCGTCCGAGAGGGGCTTCCGTTTTACTTTACTTTTTTTTAATTTTTTTATTTATTTTGATATTAAAGGTCACCAGTTCACCAGTTCAGTCACCTCACCATGTACTACATACATTTCCCAGCATCCCTGTTTCTGCTCTCCAGTTGCTCATCCTCCTCCAATATCTGTGATCTTGTCATGCAAAGGAAAAAAAGTTCATTCATCAATCAGTAACTTTCTAACGTGTGTGTGTCTGGCAGCTCCCCTTCCAGCATTGTCTGCTTCTCTCATCTGCCTGCAAATTCTTTCATTACCTTTTCAGTTTGTACAAATAAAGCTTTGAATTATTTGAAATATACCTGTCTGTCCAGAGTGTGATTTCCTGACACACGCGCTTTACACATGTTGTATTTTAATTAACATCTATTTACATGTCATATCATTTGAGTAAATCTCTTATTTCATTCAAATATAACTAGTAAATACATATTATTTATATTGTACAGGAATTATTTTAGAACACCACCTTTTTCAAATATTTGTAAAAGCAGGTGTGCATTTAAAACATCTATGATACAGCATAAGGCATTTTTAAAAACAATAAATATATACTCCTATTTAATAACAAAATAATTTATAAATCAAAAGTGCTTCAACATACCATTCTAAATGCATGCTGTTTAGATAAAGTTAAGCTGTAAATAAGCTATATTATTATACTAATCTAAGAAAATGAACGAGGACAGCCATCATAATCCACACTCTATATATGCTCACTATTCTACAAGGAGTCTATAGTGAATAAAACGGTTTGCACAGGTAATGTAAAAAAAAACAAACAAAAAAAAAAAACAATAAATACATCACACACAAATCCATTAAATATGTAATATAGTTCAGTGTCATCCATTCATCAGCAAGTAGCTACTCAACTTTGTTAGTACATTATCAGCACAATTGTAATCTTTAAGGTTAACTAACTACAATAGATAAGCACACTGGAATTATAAGGTTTGAATATGTAATTTGAGCTGAATTAATTCCACAAAAATAATATCAATAATGTGTTGCCTTGCTAACATTGCAATGTGTGTGCTGTTATTTGGCAAAAACTACATAAGCTTATATAAACTGTGTTACCAAATTTAACTATTCTTATATATTTACACACACACACACACACACACACACACACACACACACACACACACACACACACACACACACACATACATACATACATACATATATATATATATATATATATATATATATATATCACATGACATTACTGCTTCATTGAGGTAAACCAGTTCACTGACAATCACTGACACACCAGCTTCTTATGGCTCATTGCTGTAATAGTAAATTATTCACAAATCATTTAGTTAACCTCAAATGTGAAAAAAAGTCCAATAACACAATATATGTTAATATTATTATTATTGTTATTATAATTTAAATCCTTCTCTTAGGTTTTCCTAAAACTTGATTTCAAACTTTATTTATTAATGTATTTACTTTTTCAAAGATTTTTAAACCTTTGATTGCCAAGTTTAATTAATTTGTGGTCTAACCTTGGCATCTCTTTCCTAAGTCTTTATTCAGCAGCTGAATTCCAGAGACACAAACAATTAAAAGATAACTTTGTTTTTTTTCCCCTTTTATTTTGTTGAACGCCCAACAATAGAATTGAGAAAGTGAGAATTTTAAAAGCAGCTCACGCGGAATAGGGTATTGAGCCTGAAAAGTGAGATTCTGATCATCAAACCATCGTCTATGGAAGTAAATTTTGACTGGCAAACACTTTTTCCTTCACACAATTTTTTGAAACGCCCGATATGCTGAAGTCCTTCACAGTTCTGACTTCACAGAGTCTAAGCTCATATGACAATCATGCGAAAAAAAAAAAAGAAAAAAAATCTATTATATATATATACATAGAGATATAACAATACCCTTTATTTGAAAGCAGTTCAAATTTCTACCACTCTTCAAATCAGCTAACAAGATATATGCCTGGTAAATATGTCAACATTGATTTATCCCAGTCATACATGATAAAAAGTACCTTACACAAAGAATGTCCATCAAAACTCTCCCAATTTCCTGCATGTTGTATAATAAATAATCCCTGCATGAAAATAGCAAGAGAAATTCAACTTTGATCTGCTACCATTCGGCCAAGGGCTGTGTAGGATTTGCTAGCTTCTTCTAGGTGTCTGAAGCAGCCACGACTGTAGCGGTGGGAGTAGGAGACTCCACTCGGGAAAAGACAAAGAGAATGTATTGCCCATGCTGACTAGGGAGTGTGGGGGAGGACTAGGCATGTGTTCTAGTTAATGACATGTCACCAACTGGGATGAAAGGTCAAAACTTAACACAGTTCACAGGAAAGAATACTACATTACTTGTGTTGTTGCCATACTCTAAGGGCTTCCTGCAGAATGCGAGAATGTGTCACGCTGTGGTTTGCTCTGAGTAGATTAACTGATGTCTGCTGCTGGGAGCCTCATTGGTCCGAAAAATGATGAGCTTGCTGAATCTGTTTATAAAACTGCTTCCTTTCATCTTTTTGGTTCTTATTTTTTGTGCTGAAGATGAAACAAACTTTAGTTTTGGTAAAGCAAGAAGGAAACATCTGGTTAGAAACTCCCGTCATGTGTCATCCGTGTCGTCTGCGAAACAGATCACAATCTTAATGCCAGAAACATACTAGACACAAATGCTGTAGGTCCCACTGTACATACTTAACATGGCTGTATCAAACTTCACTGCTCAATAAGGCAGAGTTACTTTCAAGTGTTTGACCCACCAGATGTGTTGTTATGCAGGTAGCTGTAAAGGTTGAACTAACTTTACCTAATCATGCTCTGTAAGAATTTATTCACAATATTGCTCCATTATGAAAGTCGAGCAAAACAGCTTAATGCCTGTCATGGTAACTCTTACAATGCAAGGTTGCATTTTGAATTGCAGTCTGACATGAAGACTCAATTCTGAGTTTCAGACTTAAGTAGTCGCATTTAAATACACAAATAAAGTCACAACAATTTCAATCTTGCAAAGTAAAGAAGTGGCTTGAAACTTCAATTGGACTCCACAATTTGAATCCAGGAACAACAAATGTTTATAAAACTAAACTGCATCTTATAGGAAAGCTAAAATGCTTGTCTTTGAAAAATTTGACTTGGACTCCAATTAAAAAATAACGCTTGTTGTGTTTGCATTCACATACTTCCATAGCATTTTTTTGAAGTGATTTTGTCATCTGTCCTGATGTTCGTTTTTTCAGTTGTTAAGTCTGCTGACAAATTATATAATTAGCTCAAGTGATTTTTAAGCAATAACAAGCGGATTTGTTGTGTGTGGGCTCATCCGTTAGAATACCAGAGTGTCTCTCTGCAGGTGTATTTGTGAGATGAAGTGATTAGTTTGTGCCTTGTGTACAGCATCTGTTTGTTTCCTCTCACCATTCAGGCAATCTAAACATTGTAATACACATCCACTGCCCAACACCATGCTCAAAGATTTCTATGTGGAGACTGCCAGACCACAGTTTAGAGACTAGATGTCACTTCTGTACAAGATAAACGGATGTTCTGCTGCTCCTGAGGACACTTCCTGAACCATTATTCTCTCACGCCTTCAGGGCCACTGGCTCACACGGCTCTCCATCTTTGAAATTTAATTGCTCAGTCTTCCCAGACTTCTGGTTAAACTTAACATTGTCCTCCAGGTAAATCAGAGATTGGCTGAGATGAAGTGGACTCTCTCCCTTACTCTGAGCCCAACTGATGTATATAAAGCCCCAACTTCTGAAACCAACCAACCTTTACAGTGTCCTGCATAGCACCTTCTTTCATCTTACTTATAAGATAATTTGTAACCCCTGCACTTATTGTTACTAAAGACAGCGCAAGTACGAGAAGCCAGTCATTGATGAAAATAAATGGAAGTGTTCAACATGCCGTCATTAAAAGGATACTCACCCTCAAGTTGTTGCAAACCTGTATGAGTTTATTTCTTCTGCTGAACACAAAGAAAGATATTTTGAAAACTGACTAGAACTTTGGCACCATTGACTTCCACAGGCCCGGTTCTAGAGCCAAATCACTGAGAGTGCTTTTGAAAATAGTGAGGGTGCTCAAATGTTAAACAATGTGCGATATCCATGATCGAGTAGCCTATGTCCCTGTATGAGTTTTTGCCTTTTACATATCATTTCATATAGGCCCAGTTAAGAAATGTTACACACAGAGTGCTCTTTCCCCAAATAATAGCAGTAGCCTATTGCAAATGTGTGAAGTATTGAAACTGATTTTATTCTGCAGTTGAATAAATAAGTTCATATAAGTAACGTTCATGTTAGACATTTAGTTTCTGACGACAATGAATCAGTCCTTTTAAACAAAACAGCTGATTTAAAGATTAAATGCTGGTCACTCGACGGTGTCGGCACTTGCTGGGATTTATCGCCGGTGTTTGAATGGGTGTCATGTGGTGAAAGCATATAGGCGTCGATTTCGGTGGGGGTGGTGGGTAGCGTCCCCACCAGATTTCGTCATTAGTAAATTTGTACCCACCACTTAAAATTTGATGTTTTAAATTTGATGTTTTTGAAATCAAGCTGAGCGCTTGTTGCCACTGCTGTCAGTTTCATGGATACAGTTCTCTTGTGGCTCGCGCAATCTTCACTCGGACGCGTACTGCGCGCACTTCAATCTACCGCCGTTGCAGAGACTCTCTACTCATTCCGATATATATATATATATAGAGACAGTTATTGGCTATCTAAAGGCAGCCCAATCTCTATAGCAAATTTCCTGAGCGGGACGCACACGCAAACAAAGTGGGCAATTAAAGAGACAGCTTCACCTATGCGTA